AGCAGCAGCAGTAGACGTGGTAGTTGTACCGGCAGTAGTGATTGGCAGTAGCAGCAAAAGCAGCAGCTGCAGCATTGCTGGCAAGAACAGCAGAAGAGCAGCACACAACAGACTTCGCGTTTCAGCGCCTGCATCCACAGCTACAGAATGATTAACAGTAAGAGTGGCACCAGTAATAAGAGAAAAAACGCATCACAACGATCAGCATCAACAAATGTAACAAGGCATAAGCACGTTCCCGACGGCTACTAATGCGCAGTCTGCAAGCACGTTTCAATGGTTGCTTTTCTTTAGCGTCGCTGCCCAGGCAACCTGCCTGCGGATGGAAGATAGTGAGATCAAGAGCAGCCCAGCCAGGAGTTTCGTGAAAACCCCAAATTCTCAACGCTAAACCCTGCAGACAGAGCTTGGTGCAGGGCTTCCCAATACACTTGACTGGTTGTGGGAAGATTTGATTTCGAAGACTCCTACATGCGGCTGCATACAAGGTTTAAACGAGACCAAACCATGCGCTGGAAGTCCCAAAAGCCGAGATTTGACTGGTTGTACAGGCTTTCCCGGGCTTAGGGCTGCAGGGTTGGAGGGTTCAGAGGGGATTCTACACGTTTGGGTTTGGGTTTCGGGGTATATTATATTGTAACTATTATATTATACTTTAGGTATAATANNGGAACCCCCAGAATAGTATAGGTAGGGTTTGAATACTACACATCAGATCCTCACCCCCCCGGGAAGAAAGACAAGGCAAACACCGAAGAAAGGCCCGAAAGGCCCTGACAGGTGGTAGGTGCCCCTGGAAACTTCACCAGGGTAGTTCTATCGAAATTTTGTCCGTTTTTAAGTCCCCAAAATAGTATGGCACCCATGAATATAGAAAGAACCCTCACGAAAAGGGACCCTGGTTTAGAGAACTACCCACCAAGAGAGATGTATGAGGCCAGAAGGTCATACCTGAGTTGGTTCACACTCTCTCGTGTAGTAGGGTCTGAGACAGAAGAGACTCCACCCACGCTTGTCTGCTCGACCTATTTGAGCAACCACTCGAAAAAGAAAGCAGGCTGCTGATCCCGAAGAGGACCAAGATAACGGAGCAGCGCATCCTAGATGGGTTAAGCCTAAACCCTAAAACCCTGAACCCCGAAAGCCTAAACCCACTTCAGGGGAAGCCCTTATCTCCCTCCGAAAGCCCAGCTGTTGTCGCCCCTTCGCCGCAGCTTCTCCAAAGAGGGGGCTCACATGGGGCTTACTACGCACTGCTGGGTGGCCTGAGGGTGTAGGCCTTAGGGTGCAGAGTTTAGGAGTTTAGGGTGAGGGAACCAGAATTCCTGGCACAACGCAGAACCAATAAAGTGTCCACGTTCTAGCCTCGCTATCTTCTATGGACTTCGTGAGGGTGTTCACCTGTACCTGGTTGTGACCGCCGCCAGTCGGCTGTTGCGGGTCACCGGTGCGTATCACCAACATATGCGGGGCATTTTTAGGTACATACACAGTTGATGATCCAAAGGCCTAGACCCCAAACCCAAATCCGCGATGCCTTGGCATCTATCCAATAAACCCCAAACCGTACGGCCTTTGCAGTAAGGCAGGAAAGTCTAACCCCAAGGCATGTATAGTCAGACAGGAATAGTGCCCGTTTGCCTACAGCTTTTACAGCCATGGACAGATCTGGGCCGGGACCTGATCTTGTAGACTTGGGGATTCGCGTTGGGTGACCAGGGCTGTAAAGTTTCAGGGCTTGCTTGGGGTTTTGGATTTAGGATCGTTTACGGGATTTCGGGTTCTATTATCACAGTCGATTGTGCTACCTTTCCGGGTTGCTTGTTGTTTTGTTTGTGTGTGCATATGTGTTTTGCGTGTGGTATGTTGTTCGTGGGGCTTAGAGGAGAAGGCCTGTGCTGAGGAAGAGTTTGAATGTCTCCAACTGCACGGTGTCACGAACAAGCCAAAAACTAAACCCTAAACCAAGCAAGAACCAAGCCCCAAACCCTGAAAGTCCTAACCCTTAAACTTGATATCCTTGCGAGCCCTGAAAACCCCATCGGGTCCCTCCATTCCTTCGCCGAAGCATCCAACCTCAAAGTCTGAAAAGGCGTTGAAGGGTTGAGGGTTTAGGGTCAGCAACGCAGTCAAACTCCAGTTAGATTTTTCAGGCACAGCAAATCCAGATCAAAAACCACAAAAACCTCAAAGCCAAAGTGCTTGGAAAAAGTGAGGAGATCAAACGCAGCAAACCACATAAGAAGTGCTCGCACTCTTGCTCATATAGAACATATGTGTATGTAATATATATATATATATATATATGTATTTATTTATGTATTTGTTTACATATATACATATACACACACTCTCACTCTTTGTTCATAGCCTGTGTATGTATATATATATATATACCTACATACATACAGTGTATTCTGATACAAACGTCCTGAGCATATTCTCCTTGCTTGACGAAGCTCCACCACATTTCGAATCCACCCTAAGGAGGCGATAGATGGCGGAATCTTCGCCAGTCAGTCCCAAAGTACGGAGGACTTTGGGTTACGTAGGGCTTTAGGGTATTGGGTTTGGGGTTTAGGTATAGGTTTCAGGGCTACGGATGTATGTATATATATATATATATATATATATGTTTATACGTGTATATATATAGAGAGAGAGAGAAAGTAGAGGGTTTAGGGTATAGGGTATAGGGTTTCTCAGGGGGACGGAGGATGTAGGAATGGCAAGCATAGGGATGGGAAGCAAGCAAATGACTGACGAAGTGCACATACAAACAGACGGACTGACTCACCGCACTGACTCACGACTGACTGACGAGCTGACTACCTTTTTTTAGTCAGCTAGCTAGCTAGCTAGCTAGCTAGCTAGCTAACTATCTAACTAACTAGTAGCAACTAACAGCTATCTAACTAACAATCTCACAAGCTAGATACATGCATAGGGAGATGGAGAGAAAGGGGTTAGTAAGAACAAGGCCCGGGAAAACAAAGAAAAGCAACACAGAGAGTGCTTCTATTCAGGCGTTGGGCTTCAGAGAAAGCCATGTGGGCTGTTGGGGTAGATCATGCCGTAGGATAATGATCCACCCTAAACCCGACGCCCTAAACCGGGCTAGGTAGAGGATTATCTCGGAGCAGGTGCTGTAACGAGGCAGCGCTGCAATTGGGCGTCTGTAGCTTAGCTCCAGGTACTGCGCTGTAGAGTTGAGGACGTGAGGACGTTTAGGTGTAGAATTTGGGCTGAAGGACAAACCCTCAACCTTAAGCTCTGAACCCTTACACCCCTAAACACTTCTTCGCAAGGTTGCAGGCAAGTGGTGCCAGCCCAAGAAGCTTGGACCCTCCATTCCCAAGGCTCCGAACCTTTCAGGCAAAGATGAAGCAAGTTGACCGGAAGTTTTGACTGATGTATGAAGGGAAGAGGGTTCCCGCAAGCAGGCCCATCATGAAACACCCCAGTTCTAGTTCTGGGAACTATCCTGCCTCCCTAATGTTCGCAAGAGGACTGGCGTAGCAATACTCGGTTCCGGCCGAGCTGGGGGCTCAGACAACTCCAACTACCGAGAAGGATTGTAAAAGTCACAAAGAAAAGTTACCATCCAGGTTGCTCTTCGTTTTACGATAGTAACGGTGGCTCAAAGAGATCCAAAAGAGTACAATGAATCGACTACTGGGTTACTACACAAGTGGCTCGTTCCTCCAGGGGTCTCTTTCAGGGATCCGGTAGAGTATCATCCCTGACTGCTTTCGGCTTGTGTCCCTTTGGTGCCGATCCCAAGACACAGGAGGCAGCGGTCGTGGTACCATCGTTCAAGCTGCAAGTTGCGAAGATCGCCACATGACTATGCTGTTATAAAGACTCTTACGCTGAGACCTAAGCCCAAACCCTAAATCTTTGGCCCCACAAGAGAGCCGAAGTCTCTGAAACTGGGGATCACCGGGTTCACGTCGCAAGGCCGTCCCTATCTTCCGAAACCACAAATCCCAGGAAGCCCAGTCCCCTGCCGCAATAAAGAGGATTATGCATGTCATATCCGTCAGGATGCCTCTAGGCATTGAGGATTTCTGGAGGCTTCTCCCGCAATTGAGTAGCTGTTTGGGCTCTCTGCAGTACTCCCAAGCTTGCACCCGACAGCGCAGCGCATGCCTCCCTAAACCCTAAGCCGGAAAGGTAATATAGGCTTCTATGATAGGGTCCATTTTGTAAGGAATCCCGAAAAAATAGAACCCTATGGATCCTTTTGAGCCCTGAACGGCCCTCAAGCTTATCCCTTTAAAACCCTTCCGAAGGCCTCCACGCCGGCGATTGCCACAATCTCCGTTTCAATTGCCCTGGTGCGCTTCGTTGTGATTTGGGATTTTGGGAGCGGAGCACTAAGCACGTCAGAGATATTGGAGGGGCGTATTAGTGTCCTGCAAGGTAGGAAAGCTGTGTTGCTCTTTTGTGGAATTGGCCCCGGCAAACCCTGAACCCTAAACCCTTAAAGAGCCAGAAAGTCTGAACAGGTGCTGCAGGCCTACAATCACGGCATCGATGCAAATGTGTTTCCGAGTCTACTTCTCAGTCTGTGTGGCTAGCGGCTTACGAGGATTCGTAATGTCGATGGCACTTCGGGGCGAGCCCAGTAAGGGCCGACGATTTGGAAGAAAAGATTTCAATTGTGTACTATTTACAAACTGGTGCCCAGATCCCAATCTTTAACCCCTGAACGGATTTTTGGCTTCGGAAGTTGCAGGCTTAGAGGCTAAAGGGTTCAAGGAGTAGATATCAAGTTCTGTTGCGCTGCAATCCACCATGGAATAGAGACGAGGTGTTTCGTCGGCAGGTCGGGTATTGTGGATGGACCAGAACGAGGCGAAAACATAAGGCAGACTCCAGATTAATAAAACCCTGCTGTAAGGGTTGTACTGTGAGCCCAGACGATTCAACAGCGGTTCCTTAATCATGGGTCTATTTTGAAGGACCACGCATTTGCGTTGGTTGGCATGCCTCCTTTTGAGGCATTCTGGGCCCCTTTACTGCTTAGTTTTCGAAATTATTCTCCCCGTCTAGGTCACCAAAGTAGTTAGGCACCCTTATACAAAGGAGCCTATTGTTTTTGAGAACTACCATATTTTTTGAGAACTACCCTATTGTCTAATCGCACCGAAGTCGCTGCTGTAACCGGCGCCGTGGTAGGGGGCCAGCTAGGGGGATCTCGTACCGCGGATCCTACTACCTATGATCTATACTAGCGCTGACCCTTGAGGCGCTTGATGAAACTTGGTACAATTTGCCTACACTTGGCAGTTGAGGCCCGGCTTAAGCTTTCGATTGCCGAATCCCGCAACGAAAGGCCTGAACACAAAAGGCCCTAACAGACAGGGGCCTGAGCAATTCCTACTACTACTATTGTTTAGGGTTTCTGATCAGAAGTATGCGATAATACGTCCAAACCCTATTTAGGTTTGATCAAGTGCCCATATTCAGATATGCATCGAAATCTGACGTCTGAGGTGCACCGTGGCTAGCTTTCGGCCTTTGCTCAGCGGCGCTATGCTGAGAACCTGCACTGCAGCAGCTGCAGGGCTTTACAGCTTGCTAAAGAAACTCTCGAAGGCTTTCTTTGTGCTTGACTTGTAGGTTTCATGAACCAACATTGTCGCGCATCATTTAGGATCTTTTGCTTTTCTAGATTGTCACGGTTGCCGTTACGTCATCTCTGGCGGAGGTTCGTGCTTGCTTCGTTGCATTGGGGGTCGGGTGACGGGGGCATGCCATAGCAGCAAGAGTTTCTTGGAAACGAGCCACATGAAGGCCTTGACGCACTGCTTCGTCCAAAAATCAGCTGGCGGCGCGCGGTTCTGCCTTCCACATGCTGAGGATACTAGCGATGCCGAACGCGGGAGCTGCGAGGCTTGCGAGAATTTGGAGTGCGAAACAATGACGGCACTGATGCAACTCAGATGCGAAGCTCATACCGAAAGATTCTGCTGATGCATGCTTGAGCTTGGAGCCAAACGCATGCAAAGACGGGTGCGTGATGATGCTGCTGTGTTGACTGGTACGCACGTTATCTGCATTTGAATCGAGTGCTCGATGTTGAATCCTGATGACACCACTCACATATGCTTCTACATGGTTTGTGCCATATTCAGAAACAAACATCCCTCCGGTTGCTCGGTCTTCTGCACTTTTGTCTCTGCATGCACAGGTTGTGTTATGCAGGTATTCCTAATTCGCAGTATACACTTCTGCTGGAATATAGGCCGAAACCCCATCTATGACTGAATAAGTTGTTGGATTCTCAGGCTTTGTTTCTCATTGTTGTCGTTTCTCTCGCTTCTTGTCCTTCGTTCTTCGCACTCCGTTGATTTGAGGTTGCGGTAGCCCGTGCAGGAAGCACAGTCAAGAATGCTCACGATATCGGCGTGAGCGGAGGCACCAAATTTACTGCACCTGAAGGAGCCGCGTTTGCATATGGCAGAATGCCCAATGCCCACGATTCCTGTGATGCCCCGGTTACTATCATGTTGGGAGGCACACATACACCATGAGGATGCCGTGTAGACCTGTTTGTCGGCACTCAGACTTCTCGGCATGTGATCTGCCTCGTCGTGCCTGATGGTCCAGGTACTGGTTGAGTCGATGTGTGGGCAGGAGAGGAAGCGGACATCCGATGACGCACGCATGCTCTGTGCATTCGGTGGCCGGGTTGCTTCTGCTTTGGTTGAGGTTTGTTGCTGCTGTGCGAAGGACAGAAGGTGCGTGCAGCACCGGAAGGCGTACCGCAGCTGAGAATGCTCATGTTTCTTTCATCCTGCTCCGTGTCTTCGCATGCGCAGCGAAGGCCCCATGTCGAAACGGATGCTCCTTGATGCAGCTACGTGCTTCCAGTCGTGAAGCATGCACCTGATCATGCTGCCCTTGGCTTTCTAGCAGAAGCCCTGGCCCGGTGATGATCATGCCGGCCCCTAGGCCCTAAGCCCCAAAACCATAGACACTAAAAGCATTCAGCCTGAAACATCCTCCGTGGTGTGGTGCTGCGAAATTCTCTTCGGCCATCCGTGGAGCACAGAGCATGCCCGATCATGCCTGATGATTGTTGTTGTTTGCCCTTTCCGGGTGCTTTTAGGGTTTTTCCGTTTCGGGTTCCAGTGTTTAGGGTTTGGGGATGCTCTGCTTCTGAGCTGTGGAATGCACGTCGGATGATACGGCGGATGCAACATTCCAGTGGGTAGTCTGGAAGCAGATCCCGATATTGCGTGTTTCTGCTGCTCCGCACGCGACAGCGAGCCCTGGGGTAGCTTAATAAAAGCGCTTTTGTAGAGCATGCCTTTTTCGCCAAACTTCCCCTTCAAAGATCCACGGCATGTTAGCCCTCAACCCACAAACGCAGTGCAGAAATCCTGACCCCGGATCCGCGGAAAGCCGCGAAACCCTCAAACCACAAGCCGACTGACTGGGGTGCTGTTAAGGAATTTTACTGAAGTTACTATAATCAGGAAACCCCATTACTGGCTATGTATCCCCATTATGCTGGCTTAAATGAAATGCCTCAGCGGCAGCCCAGTTGAGGCGCTGGTGGCTCTTGCCGCCACACTGTGGCCGGACAGGTTGGGGTCGAAGTCTCTCATGGGCTCTGGCTTGGAGGTTTCGGGGTCGGGTGATACAGAAGCCTAGATAATCAGCAATATTTTTCCGTAGGGTTCCTTAATGACTATTAGAATATAAAGAGGCCCAAAACCCTATTCTAATGATTAAGGGCCCTCTGGTACTGTTATGGGCTCCTTTAAGGGTTCCTTCAAGGGATGGATAGAGTCTTTAGGGGTACTCTCATGGGGGAGACTTCCCGAAATCATAATCCAGATATAGATACCCTACATTCTACTATATGGGTACTTAGGACCCTATTGAGGATGGAGGCCGGAGTAAGTAGTAGCGGCGTTTCTTGGGTTTCCCTGATGCAGTGTATATTCTACCCCAACATCCAATTCTGACTACTGAGGCCTCTACGTCCCCATGTTGCCTTATACAGGGGCCTAAATAGTTACCTATACTATTTTGCGGGCTCCTTATTATAATCATAGTGTAATACACCCCAAAACCTTATTCGAATTCTTAAAGATTCTTAAAGCCTCTACATTCGGTACAGGCCTTGGGGTACACTGTCGGGCTTTAGGGTCTTAAGGGCTGTGAGTCACGGGAATGGGTTCCGTGCTCCGGGCTTTCGTTTTAGGGACTCTGTAGAATTTGCCGTGGTAGCCCTGCACTGAATAATGCGGAATACTCTTCGTTAGGGTTCTTCTGTTGTGCTACTATCTTGCACTATAACATACCGAAACGCCCTGCATGTTTTATGAAAGCCCTGCGGTGCAGAAGCTGGAACCCTTTTGTCTGGGTCTGAACAGAGTAGAGCTTGAGCGATACACCCAACATGCAATAGTCAGGGTTTAGGCATTTAAAGGGGTTTAGAGTCTGGAGTTTAGGCTTTAGGGGTTTGGGGTTCAGGCTTAGGGGGTTATAGGGTGTAGGGCCATCAGCCCCTAACCCTGCACCTCGGCATGGGCCCAGCTAGGCCCCCTTAGTCCTTTACACCCTAAGCCACGACGCCCAAAACCCCAAACTTCTGAACCTTGACCCAAAATCCTTTGAGCACCTCAACGCCTAAACCTTGCAGTTCGACTCAATCCCAAACTCGAAGCCCAAACTCCTAAACCCGAAAACCCTAAACCCAATGCCCTTAAGCCCTGAACCCGAAACCCTAAACCCCAGACCATAAACCCACAACCCCTAAGCCCTAGAGCCCTTTACCCTACTCCCCGTCGGCCCGGAAGCACATACCAGCCAGGCCTGCCTGGCTTCTTTTCGATGGCACCGGCACAGACTCGAAGGCTCCACCTCTGAAGGGGCCTACTTCTGGCACACACGGCCTTCATGATTAGAACATACACCAGAAGATGCGGTCATCGACTATAACATACTCTAAGATACGAAAATAGTGTATCGTATAGTAAGGTAGAGTGTACTGAGAGTCTTTAATGTCCGTATTACTCAGACCCCTGTGATGCTCCGCTTCGCTTCGGGTTATTTGGGGATCGAGAGCTTCGCGTTTTTTTTGGGGGGGGGTTAAGGTTGAATAAGGTTTAGGGCCTCGGGTTCCTTTGGCTTTAAGGGCTTTGGGCTTTGGGCTTCGGGTTTTTGCAGTTGGGCGTAGGGTTTTTTGGCTTTTGGGCCCGATCCGTCGAAGTCCCATTTCAGCAAGTTCGATAAGTATATGCGTAGTTTTCTGAATTAGCGTCCCTTTTTGGGTCCCCAAAATAGCACGACAGCCGTATGAAAAGGAGCCAAAAAGGGATCCTGAATTAGAGAGCTACCCATGTACGGTATTGCTCTTCGGGGCCTTTGGCTCTGTTTTTAGTGTGGCTGCTTTCTTTGGTACGAGACGGAAATAGAGCCGACCGGGTTAGTAAAGACATGTTTCCGGTGGAACAACGTAAGCTGTCAAAACATACATTCATTTCATTTCAGACATTACATCCATGCCTTATAGACTTAGTGTGCCATTGAAAATGTGTTCAAGGTCTTCTTCTAGCAAAAACACATTGCGGTTTACGAAGTGTACTGCCTAAGCAGAAATAGCATCGGGAGCCTTACGGAACTTACCTGGGTGTTCGGATCTGCGTGTTTGTGCCGATTGTTCTCGGGAACATACGATAGTATAACAACTCCAAAGCCTTGTTCGAACTCTTGAGGCCCCTATACGACCTCTCTACAAAACGCAGTTTAAAGGCTCTACAGAACTCCGTAGACCTTATAGAACCCCTAGAAAGCCCTGCAGATACCAAGGCCTGTATTCTAAGAACCTTCAAATGCCAAGATCCTGCGCACCCGGCAGACAGAATCCCTAAATGCTGCCCTAATTAAACCCTGCAGCCTAAACCAAAAAGCCACAAACCAAAACCCTAACCCCCTAAACCAAAAGACCCTACACCCAAGACCCTAAATCCCAACGGCCCGAAGCCAAGGCGCCCTAGACCCAAAATTCTATCAAATTAAGCCAACATGCTTAATTCTACACCTTTGCAAGACAAGATTATCAAACAACCCCAATAAAATCCTAAACGAAAAGCTTTAAACCACAACCAAAAACTCTAAACGAACGCCACAGAAAGGATGCGAGAATTCCCAAACCTTAGACCCTAGGCCTCCAAGCCTCCGCGGAAGATTACATAAGGAAGCCCGAAACCCCAAACCCTAAACCCTAACCATGGACTCCTTTTCCTCAAGAATAGGATCCCAGCAGTACCCTTTGGCATTTTTTTTTGGGTCCCTTAGAAGTTAATCTACTGGCAGGAGCCACTCCTGGACTTCTCTCCGAGGAGTGCCCTTCTGTGTGTGGCGGGTCTTATAGGACTGTGGTTTAGGGTTTGACTTCGGGGCTGAGAAGGTGACCTTTAACGTTTTGGGGCTCAAATAACCCTTCTAAATTTTAGAAGTTTGACCTTGTTTGGGCTAGGGTACTCCACCCCCTAAGATAGATTTTGCCCTATATAAGTGGCGTTTACCTCCTAAGATTTTGGTTGATGGTTTAGGTTTTAGAGTTTCGGGATAGTTTGTACGTGGTCTCGATAAGTTGTCATCCATGTTTATTGTATAGTATACACGGTCTTGAAAAGGAACAGCAAGTGCTGTTTGTGAATCCTAAGCCGTTGGCACCGCTTTAACTTCAGAGGTTCGTAATCCCCTAAACGCTAGATTTTCGGTGTCAGTGTCGCTTCGTGTTTGGGGCTTCGAGGGCCTTGTCGGGTTTAGGGGGACTTGGTGCCAGGCACTGGTTTTTGTTGCGGGATTCAGAGAGCCTGGCCTTCTTTCGGCTACAAACAACAAAGCGGCAAAGAACGCACTGAACAGCATCCTGCGCAGTTTCCGCCGCAAGCTCTGTTCCTGGAGGGACGTGACCCTGAGCTGCCGGGTGTCGCACACGGCTAGGGCTGGGGGTCACTTGCAGCCTCCACCCCATATGAGTTACGTCTTCCAGTGTATTGCTTTGATATGGAGGATTCCTTCCTAATGCCAGGAAAGTGGCTGGAAATGCCACTGCCTTCCTTGAGGATGCGAAGCAGTACCAGCTGCTTGAGTGCGAAAGAGTTGACAGTTTCGAGCACACACCCGGTTTGACAGGGAGCCTGCTGCTGGCGACTGCCTCCACTGCCAGGTTTGCGTTGCTACGAGACTTAGGGCCCAGCAACCGTGGTGTGAGGAGGATACCAGGGAGTTGGGACCTATGGGGGCTGACCCTCCCAAACTGCCCAACACGTGGCGTGCAGGAGGACTATGTCACGGAAGGCATCGTCAGGCTCATGGTACAGAACTACCTCGATAAACAGACCCTGAAGCATGAACCCTGCCTGGAGTCGAAACTATGAAGCCCTACAGAATCCTTACCCGCGACGTTGGAAAGGCAACCTGAGACACGAATGGCAGCACACAGTGAGAACCAAGCCTAGAATATGGTGCCTTACCGACAAGGATTCTCAGAGATTTTTCACTAAACCCTAAACCCTAAACCCTAGCAGCTTTTTAAGGGTTCTCCGGAGGTCGTCCAGGAGCCCGCTGCTTGCACGCGGGCCTGGGGGGTTGAGTTCCAGCATAGTCTAGGTTCAGGTCTTAGGGTTGAGGGTTTAGGGTTTAGGTTTCAGGGTAGGTTCCCCGGTGGTGCCCTTTGCACCTTTCATTTTGACTAAGGGCTCGTTTAAAAATCTGAATCAGTTCGATAAGGAATGTAAAGCAACGCTATTCATAGCTATTGAGATCTCCATATTCTAGGCCTTAGTTATGCCTCTAAATTTTGGCGTAAAACCCCAAATAGCTTGAAGCCTGCTAAACCTCAAGCACCGCAGCCGTAAACCCCAAGCCCCAAAATCACATGAGCAGAGCCTCCGGGCCCCACTCCTGGGAGCCCTTAAACGAGCCCCCCCAAATCCCACAACCCCGAATGAAACTGGGATCCTTGTCAAACCCCTAACCCCTGAACCCCAAGCCCTTACATGAACCGTCGGGATTCCCAAACACGTAGTTAAAGCTACACCACGATCCCCTAGAAAGGGCCTTGCAAGAGAGAAGTTGAACTAAAACAGGTTCCTAGTTAAAAGCCGTTAAAAACCAAAGACAAGAAGCCGTATAAAGGGAACCGCATCTTCGGCTGCTAGGAGCCCCTTGCAAGACGACGAGATTCTCGCAGAACCTGAGGTTGATGGGGTTTGAGGGTGTTTTGGTTAAGGCTTGTGGGGTTTAGGGTGCAGAGATTTTGGTGGTTGAGGAGTTTCTTGTGCTCGCATTGTATGGGGGAGGGCTTCATGGGGCAAAAGGTGTTAGGTAGGGTTTCATGGTAGGTTCAACGGATCCAAAGATCTTTAGAGCAAAAAAGCGCGCTTGCACTGTTGCATGATTGCTTCACTGGGTTTTATGGAGGGCTTTTGTTGGGTGTCGAACTCCGGGTTCAGACGTCACCTTCGCTGTTTCTTCGCTCAGCGTCCCCCTTGAATAGCTTTGGGTTTCGGGCTTCGAGTTTAGTTACGAGGCGGCGGGGAGCAGTTGGTGCCTGAGGCCGTGCAAGCACCATTGCAAAGGTCTGCATGAGGGGCGAATGGGGCACTCCTTCGCTGGGGCGGCCCAAGGCTACTGCACTATATGCTTATACAGCGACTGTAACTGCAGATTATTACACAAGGTGGTGGCCACCCTGTGGTTAGATCGGGACGGTAGCCTACTGTGCTAAGGCTGGGCTAAAGTTGCTCCCAAGACCCCTCCGGCCCGAAACCCCCGAATCCATACAACATTATGAAAACCCCCAAACCCCCAATTAAGAACCCCGAGCCCAGCATGTAGACTTGAATCAGAAAGAAAGAACCCTGAGCCCGAAAGCCCTGAGCCCGATCCACTGCTCAGGAGGCTCCCAGCCGACTCCTACGCGAAGAGGCTTCTGGTGACCTTGTTCATGGCTGCTCCGGATTCTGCTGGGCTTTAGGGCGTAATATAGGGGCATCAATAATCAAGATGCTGGGGTATGCGTATAGTGTACCTGTTTTTGCGTACCTATATGTCTGTATCTTTATATATATATATATATATATATATATTTTTTTCCTGAATACATACAATGTGCATATATATATATATATATATATATATATAGGTTCGCGTATATGTATATGTTTGTGGTAATTCTGCATGGGGATCTCGGGTTCAGTAGACTTAGGGTCTAGTATCTTGAGTGCTTAGGACATGGTAGGGGGCTTCAGAGGTTTTTCTGTGTTGAGGTTTACTGTTTAGAGGGTTCAGCTTTGGGTTTAGAGGGTTTCACGGTCTAGCATGTAGGGCTTGTCAAATGTAGAGACTTGAGTTTTAGTCCATCTATTTCTGCGATGGTTTTGAGAGAGCTGACAGAGACTGAGATAACCGACCCTTTGGTTCGTGTCAACGAAGCTTCGTTCGCTTTACGAGGTTTTTTGTTCGTTGTTGGATGTCGTGGAAGCTTCGGAAGTTGTTCGTGCGCGGACGGGTTACCTGTTGAGGGGAACTATGTTGACACAGTGGTCTGGCTGTTTTCTTTTTACATTCAAGGTTCCTGAGCAAATCTATGCTGCGACATGCCCTCAAGCCCTTATCAGTTGGTAACTAGAAGGTTCCATAATGAATGTAGCTTCGGCATTTCTCGAAGACATGCTTAGCAAGACGGCTGTGTGCGGAGTTCTACTCCCCCAATCCTCAAAGCCCCTCAAATGAGAGTTGCAGGCTCTGGAGAGGAGGCCGCGACGTCGCATCAAGGGTGGGCTGCCGCCTGCGGCGCAGCTCAGGTACCTTCCCCTGGAAGCTAAGTGAAGTAGTGTATAAGCCCTAAATCCATCCCAAACCCCGCAGGTAGGTTGCTGGGCTTCTAAGGCTCGTTGGCTTAAAAGATGTTGTGCGTAGTTTAAGGGCGGAGTGACAACTACTAGGGGTCTGCAAGTGTTAGGGCTTCGTGGGATCAGGGTTACGGGCTCAGGGGTAGAGGGTCCCAGATTGTCTATGTGGCACTTTAAGTCTGAAATGAAATCTGGCCTTCAGACTTGTCGGAAAGCTTTTTTGTATCCTGTCGCATCGTCGATGCGTCGGATCGTGGAGTGGTGCACAGATAGGTGTATTCAGGTGTCAGACTCGGGTGCAGGATTCGGTTGTAGCGTATCTAAGACAGCTAATCTAACGCCCAAATGTCTGACAATTTCGCATGCGAACAGGGAAGAATCAGAAACCGAAACTGTATGCGACGAAGGCCTAGAACCATAAAGTCGAGAGCCTAACCCTCAAACGCTGACACCCCTTCTCCACAGAAATCTTGAAGGATTCAAGAGCCTTAAATCCCTAACGCTCACAAACCCTTCAAGCCCCTAAATCTTCATAGGGCCTTACTTATGAGCCTGTTCGAGCATAGAGCTTTTTCTTTAACCCTTAAACTACAACTTCAAATGCTGCCGTCCCCACTGTTCATATATATATATATATATCACACTGGCAGAAATGAGCACCAGGATCTGAAGGCCCAGTGGATTAAATCTATAGCAACCTTTACCAGCAGAAACACAATCATGAGCACAAAGTTTAGCACCGGAAAGGGCACAAGCATGAGCACAAAATCTATCACCAGACAATTGCGGTTTTGCTGGTGCTTTGTGTTGTGCTTCTGTTTGCGCTGACTGTCGCTAGGGCAGCCGACATTTAAACCTGCAACTCTAAAACGGCCCTCCTTCTTCGAGCCTTCAGTCTCTTGAAGGATGACAAGAAGAGCCCGAAGCATAGCAGCTTCCTGGGCGCCTCAGCTGAGAGTTTTGGCGTGAGGTTTTGTTTTCGGGTTCTGTTTTAGGCTCAAAAATCCAGCCATCCAAAAGGAGAGCTTTAAGCATCTTTACAGCGCACCGGTTCTAGGATTCAGAGTGAAACTTGAGATTTGGGGCTCGAGATCTAGGTCTAGAACTCAAGGTGCAAACTGAAAGTTGGGGGTTAGCGAATTGAGGGTCGTCTATAGGAGCCAGGGCATAAAATTGGATCTTCGGGAGTGAGGCTTAAGGCTTAGACTTGAAATTTAGGGTTTGAGATTTAGGATCGAGGGCTCAAGATCAGAATCCCAGTGTTGTGACGGGGGTCTTCGAACGCCAAGGGGTTTGGAAACTCCAGAGGTCCGTGCACGGGGGATCTGAGAGCTCAGAGAGGGACCATAAAAATATGTTAATGTATGTGTATGTGTATATATTATATACATGTATGTATAGTTACTATTTGGATATACACCACGAGCATATGTGTGTATATATATATGTATGTATGTATGTATGTATGTATGTATGTATGTATGCAGTAATCTCTGATGTTGTTGGATCAAGTCTTCGTCTGCCGCACCAGACGTTGCTACGACAAACGCCAGCTTCGAGTGCACTTCTCGGTGCATTCCTCCTTGGAGCCAGTGCTAGCAGCTCTCACCAAGTGTTTCGTCAACAGGGGGGCGCTAAGTTGAAGCGAGGGCTA